AAAGATAATAGTTGAGTTTCGCGATATCTTTTACGCTGTGTTAGCCTCAAATGTGTGCAAAATATTCAGAAATTCAAAYAAAACTCGTGAAATTTCCATTGTCTTSTATACTCACGCATCTCTTGCATTTRCATGACTGTTAGTGAATAAATAGAGGATATTACATGGGCGCGCGGAGATACGAATTTTATCTTCGAGTGTTGAAAAGAGATTTTCAACACGAGAAGATAAAATTCGTATCCCCAAGCGAACATGTAATATACTGTTTATCATATAATTACATATAAAAGCAAATTATGCCGTATACCTTTTTTTCTTAGGTCCACTATATAGAGAAACCTCGAATGTGATATTTTCACTAGTGAAAATAACATGTTATTTTCACTAGTGAAAATATCAATTTTACGAAATGGAGAAAATAATTTATTACATGGTTTTAATGATAATACAGCGTGAAAGAGATCGATAAAAGGGTCTATTGTTGACATCTAAACATCTAAAGTCCCGCGCCATTACTGCTGATTCCATAAATCGCAACCCAGCTTAAAACTGTGTTTCATGCAGACTCACCTCATTGTTTTTTATAAGGTCTTGCTGTACTTCAGTGTGGTTATGCATGTGTTTGAGTGGATAAAGCACTTGTCCTACTGTCACCTGTTGATTTGCTCTATACCCATCAACCACCGTCAGACACAATGTTGTTTTATCCAAATCGAAAGCGGGTAAATTAATCTCAAAAGTCTCGTTAAAAACAGGATTTTTATTCTTTCTTTTGTACCTCGATTGTGCTACGTTCCTGTTGCTAGGTGATAGTGATATTCTGACACATGGATCACATGACCTAACAGTAGCACTCCGGTTGGGTAGATTCTCGATCTTTTGTAAAATCACAGTCAAACACTCAGTGTTGGAGTCATAGTAAGCTGTAAACCATAACCTACCTATGTGACCCTCTGGGTATTTAGATTCGACTTCTGTTTGTTCATAGGTAGATGTCGATTGAAAATCACTGTTGTCTTTGTCCTCGTCCTCGTATGCGCTAGTCAGTGTTGCCAGCGAGTGCTCTGAAGATGCTTTACTTGGCAAAGTAGTAGGTGTATCACGTGGTACAGTTTTAAGTATTTCTGGTTTAATGGCTTCCTTGGAGATGGGTGTGTAGTCATGGTAACGTTTTTTGTAATGGCGACGGAGGGAGTACACGATTAGTATCAGGATTAATGCTACAACCAATAGACTGACGGACACCACTACAGGAACTACTGGAACTACAAACAAGCCATTCATTAAAATGAAGTCTCTGTATTCTATTTCTATTGGGAATTACAAAATCAAATACAAAGTTTATTTCACACACTAAGTACATACAGCAATATACAGAAATTATGATATTTTTGCTCATCTGAATTTTTGGCGTCAAAAGGAAGATCGTTACAAGTAAAAGACAAATGAAGATCATACAGCATAAACGCTTCTTTTGTCTATTTAAATTGACTTTTTACTAAAGTACAAATGTTCAATTTTTTTAAATATAGATGTCATTGTATCATTGTACGAATGCTATGGTTTGTCCAATGTCGTGATTTATTTCGCCGGGCAACGACTCAAGAGAGAGCATGACTAACTTTCTATGTCATAAATGGGATAAAGGATGGATTGCCGCCGTGCGTTGTGAAATAAAGCAATTGGAGATGTTGAGAAACACGAAAAAACACCGCTGCGTTCGTCATTTTTAGGTATTTTTTCGTGTTCTCCTAACATTCGGGTGCTTTATTTCACCGATAAACGCACGGCAATCCCTTCTTTATTGCTTAAATGACAACGATCATATGAATTGCGCCGATGATAAAAGGCTGTTCATAGTAATTGATACAACATAGCATAGTACTGCAACTTTATTTTATCAATTTTGAACCGACCTACAATGTAGCCTCAATCTCCCCTTATAACAATGAATGCTACCCAATACAACTGGGAATGGTAGGTCTGTACGTGGCGTTCTCGCAACTGCTGGTAACAAGCATTTAAGAAAAGAAAGCTTACGCATAAACAATTGACTTTAACAGTAACAAAATATTGTCACGAAAAAAACAAAACAACAACAACAACAACAATTAGTTTGGATGTTTGATGGAAAGGATATTATGCCGAAAAGTTGCCGAAATTACATGTTGTCCCGAGTTTCTATCATATACCTGTCTCTCACAGTACATATCTACAAAGTAGGAAATTAAACAATATTCACATGCAGACATCCCATAATAATTTGTCATTTTTCCGAATATATTAGGGTAAATGGGTCATAATGTTTGGAAACAGCTGAATATACGTGGTGTCCGGAGAAAACCAAAAACATATGATAATTTTTCATTTGAATCCCGATGTCTTTTGAGTTGATAAACTAATTGCATAACTTCGAAATCAGAATGTAGCAATAAACATGGAACATTACGGGAAAAATCCATTTCCTTTGTTAACCACGGGGGTTATTTGGCGTATTTTCTCTTTATTTTAATGATTGTAAACTGTAAATTATAGTTTATCTCTAAGAAGTATATGCGGTCGGAACTTCAAATCTCTTGACGTATGAAATATTCGATAGTTTTAAAGATACGAATTGACTTTCAATATATCGAAAAACCATAAACTCAATGGCGACGCGAAAACAAAGAAAGAGTATATTATTTACATTAATATCAATGTCTGACCATTTGCTTTCGTGTTCAGGAAAAGAGAGACTTTTTTGTGGTTCGACGTTTTACTGGGAAATTGCTCTTGTGAGGTTAGATTATTCTATGAGGCCAAATATATTTGACAATGATAGCATAATATCACCATGACCTGATAACTTACAGTTAGAAGAAGTCTTGTGTTGAGATAATGCCTTTTTATCGTCCATGGATATCAGCAATGCTGTGTCGTTCACGTCAAAAGCCATGGATTATTTTGAACTTTAAATACACATATTTCAGTTTCACTTAGTAAAGCCTTGTCGTATTATTATTTTTTTTCCGCATTCATGCTCATATACACATGTCTCCCACTTAAGGTTTGGGCTAATTTGAATTGTAAATTATGATCGATCAAAGTACGATTTGCGTGACAAAAGACTTCATCGATGTCTTTTATAAAGTGTGACGTAGTGTTACAAGCGAGAATAACTCTCGTCCTTTTATAATCCAGATAAACAGCGTGTATTTTCATGATATTATACTGAATAAAAAATCATTTAAAAGTGTGGAGGAACCCAAGACCTGCTTTACTCCGGCTTTCTAGCTAAACATAACTTCTCAAACAAAAAACATTCAGTGTCATTAGCGGTATTATAAACAGTTCTTTGTTATTTTTCAGGGAGGATAATTCAAAATTTCAAAGTATCACCACACCACAAAAAGTTAAAATCGAAAAAATACTTAAAATTRAAAAAATAATACTTATGATGCTTGAAAAACAATCTACATTGTATACCAAATTAGAAAAAAATTGTTAAAAGTATAGTTGATGTATATAACTTAGCGATAGAGTGCCACTATTTAAGACGAATAACTATGGTAGGTAGTCCAGCTTTTAGGCTGGTAGACGGCTCCTTTGATGTTTTAGCCACTGGAGAAAGTTTTAGAGGAAAGTAAATGTTGGGGTCGCACTAGGAACTGTCATGTGTTGACAGATTTCATTGGATAAGTAAATAAAATTTGACTTAAATTGCCTCAGTGCGACCCGGGCCGTAGCCTATCAAAAATATCAAACAGCCATCAAAAATAACGAATAGCTTTGAGTAGCATAGCGCTGTCATTTTGTAAATTGTAAGTACAGTGATTAGGTTGGCTAGACACCTCCTTATCAGGGTWTAAAAATATAAATTGTGACAAATACAAATAAAAGAAACAAAAATAAGATGTTTTTATGATTTTTGAGAGCAAAAATTAATGAAATATCATTCCCAAAAATTAAACAACACAAATAATCACGTTCAAAGTAGACGCTACGTCGCTAGATTCAAAATAGATTCAAGTCTCACATTATTCAAAAAAGTTAGTTTATTTGTAGTGTTTGTTAATGTTTCAAGTGCCGAATGACCTGCGAAGAACTGTCGTAATCTTTAGTACTCCAGTCTCAACATCTTATTTACACAGCCTTCACCTCGAAAGCACATAGACCTTTTTACTCACGGACTGCATCTTGAATTTTGAAGAAATTATGTGATGTCCAGGGGCAATCACACAGTCAGAAAGAACAGAACAAAAACATTTCTTTCGCAGTTAATTTCGGGCTTCAAAATTAAAATAAATTATTCAAAACATCCAAATGTGTTATGTCTTGTTTTCATTTTCTAAGGCATGATGTTTATCTTTTTAACCATTCTAAAACCGTACCGTTTATGAATTTCTTGTTTAGTGTCCTCTGTCTAGTTTCTTACTAAATTGATACTTAAAACAGTAGAATTCAAGATGGCGTCCGTATTAGTAAAAAGGTATATTCTTACAGGTACATACTCGCTTGGGATTCCTGTGGTTTTGGATGTCCTTTCGTTTGTTAGAGACCTGAACTCTAAGTGAATTTGAACATGACCGACATGTTGCTTTGCTCGTTCTCTGCAAATATGGAAGTTTTAGATCTTTTTCAACACTAACAGCTGGACTTCCAAATAAGAWGAGAGGGAAAGTCCATCAAAAGTAWTTTTTCTCCAAGGCAATTGTTTGATATRAATCTACATATTTTTGGATTATTCATGTTAGCCTAGAGTTTCGTGGACGTTTTTCTTACATTCAMCTGCGCATTGATTTGTAAATTCATCCTTTTATTGACAAACTCTCAACGAGTGTTGTACAAGGCTTTGAATTTATTGTGTTGGCATACAAAGCAATTTAATKAATTAGCTGAAGAAAAACTCTTATTATTATTGCTATCTTATTATGCCATCCCTATATGTTTTTTAGGTCGGTCGGATAATGATAGAAATATGAAAATATAAATATAAATCACTTCGTCAAGAAAGAGCGGGTACGAGATGCGGAGGAGGGTATATGTCTTGTGGAAAATGACGGTGAATATATGCTGACAAAAAGCCTACCAAAGACGAATTGACAAGTGCAGTTGGGTCAAGCAGTCAACATATGAATCGCCTAATGTCCACGTTCTTGCGACTTCCTTTACCTTGACATCAGCTGTGATGATAAGTTTTTGGAATTATGAAATCCTCCCCGAGTACTTTCAATGCAAATTCTCGCTTTCTGATTGGTTAATCTCTATACCAAATTATTATATATTATAAGACTTCATGCTGTCCAAGTAAGAAAYAATTGGACGAGATAATTCCGAGGACTTAAAAATTGGATTAGACCGTGAGCGGAGCCCAAGTAGGCAGTGAGTGGGACATACCTATTAAGTAACAATACGCTTAAGAACTAAGGAACTCTCTATTGTTCTGCGGCATTGCAACTTCCCCACATACGAATGTMTTGGTTTTCACACTGATTATATATCAACCTATGGGTAACACATTTTTGAAATAAAATGTGGATAAACTCTATTTTGAAACAAGTTTCTTTTGTATTAAAACCTCTTATCCAATCATAAGCACTCAAAACAATAGCCAAAAGAAGCTTCTAATTTGCTATGTTCCCAMATAGAATTGCCTTAATATTGTTGCTAAAGAAAGCTTTCATGAAGTCGGAATCAGATATTTAATAAAATAGTAGAAAATGCGCTAGCTTGTGAAATTATAGCAGATTTTCTTGTTTAAAGCAATTGGATGGATGGATTATACAATACACAATTAGCACCTTCTTCCATTCCCTTGCCGTTTGCTTCCTTAGTTCTTACTCGGGCCATTACTTAATTATACATACATATATTCTTTCCAACTGTCCAATACCCCAGTTTCGAATTCTCTTTTGTGCAAGCTTAGCTTCAATCAAGCATAATTTTTTATTATCTTCTTTGTAGACAGAGTGTTTGCACTACAACAGGATTCTCGGCTGAATTAAAGAATATAATATTACATGCTTTCGAGGTTAAGGCTGCACAAATAAGATCTCGAAACTGGAGTATGAAGAAAATAACTGGATAGGTACCTATTTAGGATTTATAAGTTGATATATAAATAAGCGTCGATTTATCAGTTCTTAGTGTGCACTTTACATTTAGTCAAATCATGTTTAGTTACTTATTACCTTGTACGTATCAAAAAAGAACTCAGTATTATATATAAGGTTGATCATTATCCACAAAATGCCAAATTGGTTATTGAATGAAGTCTCGGAACACAGAGTGAATAACATGACAAAAAAAAGTTGAAAAAGTACTTTCGCTGACATACCTGGCAGTCATAGCCGGATCAAGGTTGTTTTTTACAACTGTTGTTAGATCGGAATTTCCAGGTAAAGTCTTTCCCCCTTCATAGCCTATGAAGCTAGCTCCATCRTCACTGTACTGTAGACTGTAGCTGGTAGTCCACTCATCATGACTTTAGCACCCTTGTGTCGCAATTGCCGTTATTCTCATTATGTTGCTCAAGTCAACTTGAACCCATTGTCCTRCTGTATTCGCTCTAGGGCTCCATCCACCAAAACCGAGGACTACATTAAGGGTGTACTGACGTATCCGTTTCTAGACGACCTGGTTGCTATGCTAGTCGATGCTAGCCAATCGGGAAAATTTTTACTTCCGGTTGGAAAGGTTTTTGTTTACATAAAATGTATGGTATCATTTAAAAAATATAATCTCCGGTGCGAAATATCAAATGGACGTGTTTTTTCAATATTGATGTTCCTCACAGCCTCTTCAGAACCAAGCATGGGTTTGGCGAAAAACTAAAAAATACGAAAGTTATTGGCATTTTTCGCTTATTTGTGGCATTTAAAAAATCCTAAAAAGCTTATTTGGCAATCATTCTAAAAACGCATGCTTGGCTTTACGAACTTAAATCTAAAGATTAATTTCATCCATTTTAAATCGTTTGCTTGATGCAATTATAATTATAGCATTTTTTTCGTATTAATGACGTCATAGAATGTGTTATTTTTGTTTGGGAAGCCTTAATACTCAATACGATAGCGATTTTACTTTTGTTTGTCATTTTAGAGAACTACTGAATTTCCCTAGCAACGGATATGTCAGTACACCCTTAAGCCTAGCATAACTTGGAAGATATTTTAAACTGTAGTTTGAGGAGGCGGTTATCTTTGAGTCAGTGATCGCCTTGCTTTCCATACCAAGTATGTCATCGCATCTGCCTGTGTTAAAGTGTATATATCGGTTCAGCAATTTTGGTTTAAAATAAAAGTTTAGACTGTCATGAATTATGTTTGGTGGGTTAAACTCGAAAAAAAATTTTTTAGTGTCATTTTTTAAGGCCTAAAAGTGCTAAAAATGCCTGTTTTGGGCCTCCTGTGCCAAAATTTTGGAGCAATGCAGAAGTCTGGTAACTAACATTTCATGACGTCATTCACGGAACTCGTCACCCAGAACAATATTGTTTCCAGTCATTTTCCAGTCAAAAAACTATCAAAATTCTATTTAATTCCGTACTTAAGAATACGATTCCTCTTCCAAAATGCCCGATAGCAGTAGTCAAAAGTTGTGGTAACATAAACAGTCGTGAAAACGCTATATTTCCTAGCACAAAATTCAGTATTAAGGCGACCAGCGACAAGAGGCAATTCGACGCCGAAAGAGACGAGACATACACATAAGCGCTCGTTAGCGAACTTTGCAAAAACATTTGTGAGTAATTAGAGGAAAACACGGGAAACTCTTCTTTACATAAAAGCTTGAATGAAGCCTTTTATAATAATACAGTTTGTCCGTCCATATTCATACACTTTGCCTTATAATGCAGGATATGATCGCGTAGCTACTCAATTTTTGGCGAAGTTTGCTCGTCCGAATAACCCTTTTATACAGAGAAAGTTCGAGTAACTGCTTTTCTCAACATTCGCAAAGTTTGACTGTCCGCATATGAAACTTTTTTATACTTAAATAATAATAGTCACGCTAAACAAGAAAATCAACCTCTTTTAACTTGATTTTTATGCACGAGTTTG